TGTCTTTTTAAAAAAAGTGCATGTTAATGTAGCAGGGACACTTGTAGTAAGCTACAGGTCTCCAGGTGTAGCAGGATTTTAGTTTATATTTTGTTGCTGGCTCTCTGGGGTGTCCTGATGTTATTTGCGTCCAGCAACAAAATCTATGTCATCGTTTTCATAAAAAATGTACATGTTAAGATAGCATGAACACGGCTACAGGTCTCCAGGTGTAGCAGAATTTTAGTTTTTTTTTGTTGCTGGCTCTCTGGGGTGTCCTGATGTTATTTGTAAATAGCAACTAAATCCATGCCACTGTCTTTTTTAAAAAAAGTGCATGTTAATGTAGCAGGGACACTTGTAGTAAGCTACAGGTCTCCAGGTGTAGCAGAATTTTAGTTTATATTTTGTTGCTGGCTCTCTGGGGTGTTCTGATATTATTTGTGAATAGCAACAAAATCCATGTCATCGTTTTCATAGAAAAAGGGCCTGTTAAGATAGCATGAATACGGCTACAGGTCTCCAGGTGTAGCAGAATTTCAGTTTTTATTTTGATGCTGGCTCTCTGGGGTGTCCTGATGTTATTTGCGACCAGCAACAAAATCTATGTCATCGTTTTCATAAAAAATGTACATGTTAAGATAGCATGAACATGGCTACAGGTCTCCAGGTGTAGCAGAATTTTAGTTTCTGTTTTGTTGCTGGCTCTCTGGGGTGTCCTGGTGCTATTTACAATGAGCAAAAAAATCCATGCTACTGTCTTGTTAAAAAAAGTGCACGCTAAGTTAGCATGAACACTTGTAGTCGACTACAGGTTTCCAGGTGTAGCAGATTTTTAGTTTCTATTTTGTTGCTGGCTCTCTGGGGTGTTCTGATATTATTTGTGAATAGCAACAAAATCCATGTCATCGTTTTCATAGAAAAAGGGCATGTTAAGATAGCATGAATACGGCTACAGGTCTCCAGGTGTAGCAGAATTTCAGTTTCTATTTTGTTGCTGGCTCTCTGGGGTGTCCTGATGTTATTTGCGTCCAGCAACAAAATCCATGCCATCGTTTTCATAAAAAATGTACATGTTAAGATAGCAGGGATACGGCTACAGGTCTCCAGGTGTAGCAGAATTTTAGTTTTTATTTTGTTGCTGGTTCTCTGGGGTGTCCTGGTGTTATTTGCAATGAGCAACAAAATCCATGCCACCGTCTTGTTAAAAAAAGTGCATGTTAATGTAGCATGGACATGGCTACAGGTCTCCAGGTGTAGCAGAATTTTAGTTTCTATTTTGTTGCTGGCTCTCTGGGGTGTCCTGATGTTATTTGCGTCCAGCAACAAAATCCATGCCATCGTCTTGTTAAAAAAACTGCATGTTAAGATAGCATGGATACGGCTACAGGTCTCCAGGTCTAGCCAATTCTAGGGTTTTTTTTTATTTTTTTTACACTATTTGTCAGCAACAAATTAGCAACAAATACTGATGTATAATTGCATTTAATCCATGCCGGTCCCGCTGAGTTTACTGCTAGCTTAACGTTAAGATAGCAGTAACTCCTTTTTTTCGAAATCGGACAAAGCAACAAAATCGGGGTTTTAGCAACTAATTAGCAACAAATTAGCCACAAAATACCGTATATGTTTCGAACGATTCTGCTAACCTTTCACTGCTATCTTAACACACCTCTTGTAGCTTACCATGGAAAAATGGTGTTATGTGTTAATATCACAAAAAAATAAAATTTGTTATCTAACTGTAACTTAGAACAAATTGTTGTGATAGGAGACCTGTGCCCAGCAGTTCAAAAGGGCTGAATACATTGGTCTCAAAATAACCCCAAATTCGGTTTTATTACCAACCACTATTCATACATTTGCTCGATATTATACGATTAAATTGAAAATTATAATGTGGGTGTATGTTTGTTACTCTTTTACGCTTAAGCAACTCGGATTTCAATCAATTTTAGTACACAAATAGATTATGATCTAGACTCTAATACACAGCCTACTTTAAAATAAAATTATCTTTTCGGATTTTTACGTGGATTTATTTAGATTTTTGGTTTCCGACGTTTCGAATCCTTTACAGCAATCATGGTCACGGGAGAGACTAAGTTTCTAGACGTCTCAAAGCTCATTATATAACATGTATGTTATGTATGTATGTCTGTAACAACTACATATCAAAATAAAATCTGTAACAACTACATACAAAAATCAAAATATATCCGCGAAAAAATCCGAAAAGATATTTTTTTTTTAATGTCAAATATTCGCGTAAATCTAAGAAAATATTACATAGGCTACTGTCAGGTAGGGTCTTTAATAAGTTACTAAGTACACTAGTGTTAAACAAAAAACATTATATAATATATTTATTATCATATCCAAACAAAACAAGTATTCAGCGGAGTCCATAAATTCATATTGGGTACTCAGTCAATAATAAAATATCTTACCGGGCCTTCTCTCCTAATAAAACCATTCCATTTCCATAACAAAGAGATATTACTGCATGATAATATTGTTAGTTTTATGTCGATTCTATCTGCAGTGGCTTCTATGTATAATCTAGCTTTTACAACCAGTTTTGTTTAAAAATTATTATATTTTTGATCGACTTCAAAAAAGAGGAAGTATCAAATTAAGTTGTATGGGTTTTGATGTATGTCACGCAATATCTACGCTACTTTAGATTATGAATCAATTTTAACGATTATTTTTTGAAAATAATCATATAAAATACAAAATAGAAACTTTTAAGGGTAGTCTTTATAATTCAGTTAAAACATAACAAATATATTACACATACTTTATAAAATTTTTAGTTTTTCTTATTAGAATTTCAATCTGAACTCTAATCTCGAAAAAACTAACCTGCTTATTGAAATCACTTCATATCTGATGTAAATCTTGGAATGCAACTCTGATGATAAAAATCTAAATTTATTAAAATGACTCACAGTAAGTACTTTTATAATGTTTTTCTAACCGGATGCGACCACGGCGGCTAATCTTACTGAGGCTAGCCATGCGTCCAAAATATATTATAGTGCACAAGTATGCGCGCAAGCACAAGTGCACTCTCTATTTCCTTTCAATGTCAAAGTCCTATAGAACGACCAAATTACAGACGTAGGACCGATGGCTTTACGTGTTCTCCAAAGTATGGGGGTGAAACACAATTTCTTGACAGAAAATGCAATAACTGGACTTGGCTCGACCCGGGACTTAAACCCAAGACTTGCGCTATATTGAACAAAATCCTACATTTAATATATTTGAAATTTAAATATACCTATCGAAAAATAACTACATTATTAAGAAAAAATAACTGGTATAACTGAAATACATATTTATGTAAAATATGTATTCCAGTTATATTTATGTAAAATATGTATTCCAGTTATATCCCTCCATCCCTTAGTTAGTCCCTCGCGGACTTGAACCTAGGACTTCAAATGTTCATGTTAGATAGTTAGAGCTAGTTTAGCTATAGCTTATATTTTGTGGTATTGATAAATAGTACATAAATCATGAATCTAATAGTCCTATTTAATGTACTGAAATTAGCAGCTTTCACCAGAACGCAGTCGGAACGCGGTTAAGTATCAAATGAAGCGTTTGTTTCAACGGATGATATTAGCCTATGTCGAGTTTGTGACACTTCAATATTAGATAATTTATTATTCGCTTAGGTATAGAAGAATCATTCTTATACTTTAAAATCACAACATATTAAATTTTATATATGTTTCACACTACAGTTATAAATGTTCGTGTGTCTCTTTCTCTCTCTCTCTCTCTATCTGTGTGTGTATGTGCATGCGTGCGTGTGTGCGTGCGTGCGTGTATGTGTGTGTGTTAAATGGCTGGGTGGCTTTGATTTGCATGAAATTTAGTACACACACATAGGCTATACTCGTAGCTTAAAATAACACATAGTTAGTCACCTAAGGAAGCACACAATCGATGCGAATCGCTAGTACTTCACTATAATTACCGTTTCCTCTAACGCATGTTAAATAATAGCTATACGTATGTAAATTCTGAAACAACGGTTCCTGAGCCTAAGGCAAGTATTTATTTACAGCAAGTATTGAGCTAATAAAACCCAAAGGCAAGTATTTATTGACATAAAACCCATTAACCGACGTCAGAATCAAAAAATATCATCAAACAATCAAACCATCAGCGTATGAATACAAAAACGGATATATTAAAGGGTGTTTAATAAAAACATGATAAAAATTGCGGAAATGCCCAACAAACATTTCCCATGACAATCTCCGTGCAAATGTCGTGTTATATTTCAGTACGCGTGTATCGTCCTTAAATGAGCAACCGTTCTCGTTTATGTTAGTAATTTTCTCCTTTTGTCGAGTAAAATTATTATTTACGCACCGTAATTTTACGTTTTGCGTAAAGATGTAATATGCTAAAATAATTATTTTTGGATAATTTCTGGGTACTCATATGTATAATTTAATTGTACGAGTTTGTATGGAATTAGAATTTGAATAGCAAAATGCTTAGCGTAACAGTTTTATGTTCTTAAAGTACGTTTTTTTTTAAATACATGCGAATTTTAGAACAAAAAAAAAGACAAGAGAGCGAAAATATATAAGTACTAGCAGCGACTTACTCTCGCTTCGCTAGGGTTCGTCCCTAGGTCTTATAATGGATATAGTATGTTATCCTTAAGAGATAGACATATACTATCACGGACTTTTTTGTAGACCTTTTTAACCCTTAATTTGACTGTGTTCACTGTGATAAACATTCATAAAAAATAAATACTGAGTGACTATTATTCACTATTTATCGGTTTTTATTTTAGTTATAGCAAGTTTAAAGTATATTTATCGGTATAAAAAATAATTCAACTAGTGGCAGCATCGTTTATCTGTCATAATTGAGACAAGATGTCATCGAAGCGCGGGCACTCGAATCTTCGCAGGGTAAATGTTTTTATTTTAGATGTTTTACATAACTAAACTAACTTTTTTCTGGTTTTAATTTACTAAAAAATGTTTATGCTATGGTTGAATAAAATACAAAACTGCACTCATAGAATACGAGCTCTTTTTCCTGTCGAGCATGCACAATCCAACAATAGTGATAAATCCGAAAATAACAGTGACTACGAATTGCCGCCTCCTTCTCCAAGTCCAGTTTCATCTTCTACGCCTTTCATTAATTCTTGTTTAGAACGTTTAGACCCCAATAATAGTCCCGAATCTGAACATATTCAAAATGATGATGAACAGCCGTTAGAACCATCTGATTTATACCACTCCGAAGCTCTACAATTAACTCTAGTTTTGCAGAAAATTTTCCCTAATACACCATCTAGAGAACTAAACTTTGATAATGTTCCATCATTATCTTAAATAATATCGCTTCCATCTGAGATACAATCACCAACACTCGGTACGTCTTATACTAAAAAATTAGAGCAAATAAGCAGATAGGCTCCAGCTGCCAAGAAATCAAAGAAAATTCAAAATTTTCTCTTTCTTACAAATGGAAGTTGTAATGAAAAGAAATTAGTTCTTGAACGCTGGAATAATAAACATGTAAATTTTATAAACTCATTTTTTAGATCTAAAACAGTACAAAAAACAAATAGGTATTGTAAAGAGCAGAAACAAAGAAGAAAGATAGAAATTGATTGTCCGCAAATTGTTCGCAAGTACATATGGGGGTGTATACCTACTGGTTGATATGTTGATATCATTGTATAAAGTTCCGTTTAAAACTAGAAGGTGATACATAGAAATATGTATTTAGTCAATTGCTATATATAGGTATGTATAGATAATGCTTGGCTATTGTATAAGCGTAACTGTTATAGAAATCAACAAAAATTACAGTCACTGAAAGTTTTTCGATATGAGATTTACTTGAGTTTAACAAAAGAAAACCGATCTGTACCTCATGATAAAATGCAGGAATGTAAAATTATAAACCTAAGATCAGCCAGGCCTACAAGCACCATCAGATTCGATAATACAGGAAATTATTCCGCCCAAAGGAAGACATGGGGCGATGCAAGTTTCGCCAAAAAATACAACGTATATTGTATAAAATGCAATATGAGATTTTGCCTTGTTACGGGAAAAAATCCACGCAATTGTTTTTAATATTTCCATAATAAATAATTTGATTTATTGATATACATAGTATTTTTATTTTACCTGTATAAACAACACTAATTTGATAATGTTTACCACAGTGAACATTAACAAACATTACAAATTACTTATTGTTCTCAACGTATTTTGCAGTGTTCACTGTGATGAACATTGATTTCCTGAAAACCTGTAAATAAAATATTTTTTTATCTATTTTTCCCAAGTTGTATTTAACCCTAGGACTTCAGAAATACATTTTATTTCATAAAAAAAACAACTCGGATCTCTGCCAAATTAAGGGTTAAGGTGTACAATACTGTAGTACATTATTTTGGTCTATCTCGTAGGGTTCAGCCAGCGTTCAATGTAAACGCAAGAAAATGTGTGTATTTACGACATCACATTAGAAACCTTTAAAATTATCAGTATTGTTCTACTTTATTATGCATGGATTACACACATAAACCTTCCTCTTGAATTACTCTATATATTAAAAAACCGCATCAAAATCCATTGCGTAGTTTTAAAGATCTAAGCATACATAGGGACAGATAGACAGCGATAAACGACTTTGTTTTATACTATGTAGTGATGATGGTTGGTATACTATGTTATATATAATTCGTGTATAATTTGTGTTTAGCCCATTTTGACGTCCCACTGCTGGGCACGGGTCTTCCTTTAGTATAGTAAAATTAGGCTATTAATCCACTTTACTCGGAAACCGATTGAAGCGGGTTCAAATCCCGGATCTCGCAACTGTAATATTTTCAAGTGCGAATCATTTCCAATATGATTACCGCTGGTCTTACGGTGCAGGAAAACATCAAGAAAACTGCATGGCTGAGAGAACCTAGCAAGTTTTCGAAAGACACGTGAATCCGCCAACCCGCAGTTTGCCAGCGTGGTGAAATGTCAGTTAAACAAAAATCGTACTACGAAATCTATACATATAATAAAATTCTAACTGAGCCGAATCTGTACATTAAATATTTTTTGGAAAATCTTGTTGAAATAGACATTATTATCGATACAGAGGCCAAATCTATAGTTTTTAGAATTTTTGTCTGTCTCTCTGTCTGTTACCGCATCACGAGAAAACCACTGGACAGATTTTGATGAAATTTGGTATGATGATAGCTGGTTATCCGGGTCAACATTTAGGATACTTTTTACCGCGGAAAAATATCTCATTTCTGAGAAAAAATACAAAAACTGCAATGTAAGAGTATACTAATATGTAAAACCTAAGAATTTATTTTTTGGTCATCTGAACGCGGGCGGAGCCGCGGTCTGTGCTAGTCAATAATATATTCTCAAAACGTACACAAAAATTGCAAAATCAAAATATATCTAAGCTCAATAACATTACTTTCATCAAGCGAGCTTTTATATAGTTACTTCACGTTGTTTACATGTAGTTCACGTCCTGGGTGTTTGTTGGAACGCGACGCGACGACAAATTGTGTATTTTTCGTCACTGACTCCAAATAGACGATTGAATCTTTATATTATGCTGATCTAGATATCACTTGACTTTTCTTTGTTTTGTTTTGTTTTTTTCCAATAATAATTTAAGTTTGAGCAATTATTCTTATCGATGGTGTACAACAAAATTTTGTGTATCATACGTTGTGCTTAGCTTTAACCAAAATATGTTATATATTTTAAATACAAACTATTTTTTCGGATTTTTGTAGCGATTTTAATTTGAATTTTGTCCAAAAACATAGTTTCATTTAATACTAGTGGTTTACACTCGCTTCGCTCGTGTGCTAGATGTCTTGCTTTTGTAATATTGCCACACTCGCTTCCCTTGATCTTCGTTATGTAATATTACTCTTTATTTTATATAAATATAATATAAAACAATATATTGAAAATTTATTGTGTATTCAAAATTTATTTTAAAATATAACCGAAAATAACATAAAAAATTGAAGTAATGGTATAAAATATGTTTTAAAGACAACAAAATCGAAAGTACATAATAATTACAAGACTTCCACGATACCATTCAGAGAAAGAGAGACAATAGCATTCCCAAAGATGGTTGACGTCAGGCAGGCGGCCGGTCGTAAAACTTTTGCCGAATCCTATCAGCAGTACAGAAGATGTACTGCTCCGACCCCAAGTGATTGGGAAATGGGCAGGGAGAAGAAGAAGATAATATTATATCAGATTATATAACTCATCTTTATGTCTCTAGCAGCAAAAAAATAGGACTTTTATACTTTCATTTCACTCCCTACAAGTTTTATTTTCCCCACAAATTGTAGCCTTTATCAAACGAGTATTAAACTAGCGGAAGCAAATCGCTGGCTGGCGTATGTCTTTACGTATGCCCGCTTATTTAAAGTACTACTCAACAATAGTATAATTGTAACTATAATATTTTAGTTAGTATATAAATACGTTTTAAAAATCATTATAAAATAAATCATTTCTTCAAATTCAATAAATATGTTGAAATGTATTTAATTAAGAGTTCTTAATAGGTATAAAAATCTGTCATTTATATATAACTATATGTATATTATTAAATAAAACTATCTTTTCGGATTATTTCGCGGATTTATTTTGATTTTTGGTTCCCGACGTTTCGAATGCTTTACAGCATCCATGGTCACGGGAGAGACTGAGGTATTACATGTCTTAAAGATATAGTTGTTACAGACAGCCTACCCACAATCAACAAAATGAAAATTGCACCAATTACATTACAATATTTTAACTTTAAACATTTTTATAATTTTAATTATAATTGAATATGGAAAATTATTTATTTAATTTTTGCTATTATTTTTTTTAATTATTACAATTTTAAAAATATTAATTAGTAATCTATATTTAGTGTTGCCATTATTATATTTATAACCATAAAGAAAAATATAAAATATAGTATTAATTATTTAAGCCATATAATTGTTCAATGTGTAATTTAAAAAGTTAAAATTAATTAAGGATTATAATTTTAATTTAGTTTGCTATTATTTAAAAACAACTTACTAAGCAACACTATTAATATATACTTTTACAAATGAAAAATGAAAAATATCAATCTGATAAGCTGTCATTTTAATCTACACAGTATGAACTTACTACATCTGCCTGTCTGTTATGTTTATATTTATTATTTGATTTTATAATATCAATAACAGGATCCCATGACGATGGTAGTACCCAGCCATCTTCCCTATTGAAATTTGGATGTTTTTTAATTTCTATGGCTTCTCGAATCATTCTAGGGCGATATCGGTTTTCTTTCGCCAAGATTTGAGGTCTATCGAAACGAATATAATGGCTTGGGCGGTCCTGGCTATGTTTGCAGACAGCAGATGTTGTATTGCGACGGTGCTTCACATCAGCTATGTGTTCTTTGACCCGGGTTCTAATGGATCGCTTTGTTTGTCCAATGTAAGAGAGCCCACAATCACAATCAAGCTTGTAAACTCCTGCATCTTGTAGAGGGATGTGGCACTTGACAGGTGGTAAGAACTGACTAATTTTCTTTGGCGGCTTGAAGTAAGTTTTAATTGAAGCTCGCTTTAGAATGTAGCCAATCTTGTCAGTGACTCCTTTCATGTATGGCAAGACTGCAGGGACGCGCTCGACTGTGGCTGGTTTTACTCGGTCACTGTGACGCAGGCGCGGCACTTGCAGCTTGTTGTCACGCAGAACTTGCTTGACATGTTGCAGTTCTCCGGCCAGGTGTTGCTCGTCACAGATCCCGCGCGCTCTCTGAAACAAAGATTTTCCCACGGTAGCTAACTGTGAAGGATGGTGGTGAGATTCACCGTTCAGGTACCTATCAGTATGGGTCTTCTTTCTATACACAGTATGACTCAAGGTGTTATCTGTGTTACGTTTAACTAATACATCTAGGAAAGCTAAGGTATTGTCTGATTCTAATTCCATTGTAAATTGTATTTTAGGATTTATAGAATTAAGGTGTTCTAAGAATACAGTTATTTTATCAGATGGTAATATTGTGAAAGTGTCATCTACATACCGCTTGTAGAAACGAGGGGTCACGGGTGATGTGTTCAGAGCAGTCTCCTCGAAGTCCTCCATGAAGATGTCGGCTACAACGGGGGAGACTGGCGAACCCATGGCCACTCCATCCACTTGCCTATAGAATTCACCATTCCACAGTAGATAGCCAGATGTTAGGCAGTGTTTTAAAAGTTCAATGTATTCTATTGACATGTTGTGATCTAGTAGCTTCCTAGATATTATTTCAATACAGTCTT